AGGACACACACACACACACACACACACACACACACACACACACCCCGGAAGGCAGAGTAGTGCATGGAGAGGGAAACCAAATAGATACTGGGGAAGACTCATGTGAGACCCAGGTACAGGAAAAGGAGAGACTTTCTGAATCAACATTTCTATCTTTAGGCAGAGTAGTGCATGGAGAGGGAAACCAAATAGATACTGGGGAAGACTCATGTGAGACCCAGGTACAGGAAAAGGAGAGACTTTCTGAATCAACATTTCTATCTTTGGCCTTTTTATTTTTTATCATTTTTTTAAATTGATTTCAGAGGGGAAGGGAGAGGGACAGAGAGATAGAAACATCAATGATAAGAGAGAACCATTGATAGGCTGCCTCCTGCCCACAACCTGGGCATGTGCCCTGATCAGGAATTGAACTGTGACCTCCTGGTTCATAGGTCATTGCTCAACCACTAGGCCACACTGGCCCGACATTCTTTGGCCTTTTTAGAATAAAGCCACCCAAAGCGTTCAAGGCAGTGCTGCATTTTAGCAAACATGGGAGTCTCTCCTGATACTAATTTAGAGGGTCATTTAGAATCACACATAGCGCAGGGACCCTTTTGTTTCCAGACTCTAAGCATTTCCAGGATGAGACTGGTTTTCTACTTTTTAAAAAACACCTTTCAGTAGCGAGGATGGTGTTGTGTCCCCAGTCTGTGTGTGTTAGCTGACTCTATCTTTTCCTCTGGGTAGATTAACTGCAATGGTTTCACGCTCAGTGACCAGAGGGGCCTGCAGGCAGTGGGCGTGGGCATCTTCCCCAACCTGGGCCTGGTGAACCATGACTGTTGGCCCAACTGCACCGTCATCTTTAACAACGGCAAGTGAGTATGTCTTTCACTGGGGGTGCTGCGACGGGGGTGGGGAGACCTCGTGGTGTTCTCGCCACTTGACTTAAGCCTAAGGTTCATGAACTAACATGGTTTTCAAATGGGAAAGAAGTAGAAATTTCATTGTAGAATATTTGTGGTTAGGAGGAAGGTAATGGGGAGGATAGCAGAGAACTCCACATGGGTAACTTCTGAGTCTGTATGTTTCTTGAGGTTGCCTAGATATGTCAGATAAACCTCTAACTACTATTTTAAAACTTGATGCCTTGATCCCTAGAGATCATTACAAAACATCAACTGAGAAGCATATATCAGTCAAGGTCCCAGTAGAAATCCAAAGGCACAGAGTTTTTCTGAAGAGAATTTAATAAAAGGACTATTCATAGAAATGCGAGTAGCATTTAAGCAACTAATAAAGAATGGTGAAGTGTCCAGGGTCTAGCTACAGCATGAAACCATGATCATCTCTAGCGTGGAAGGGCAAATGGAAGAAGTACTGTTTTTGTGCTTGCCGAGAGCCACAGCCATGGGAGAGGCCCTTCCAACAGCGTGGGTCATTACAAAACATCAACTGAGAAGCATATATCCGTCAAGGTCCCAGCAGAAACCCAAAGGCACAGTCAGAGTTAATCTGAAGAGAACTTAGAAGTGCGAGTAGCATTTAAGCAACTAATAAAGAATGGTGAGGTGTCCAGGGTCTAGCTACAGCACGAAACCATGATCATCTCTAGCGTGGAAGGGCAAATGAAAGAAGTACTGTTTTTGTGCTTGCCTAGAGCCACAGCCATGGGAGAGGCCCTTCCAACAGCGTGGCTGTGCCTGTAGAGAAACCAGCCACTGCTAGAACCACAGTAAGGCAGAGAGGGAGCCAGGAGACCTAACAGCCCAACCGCTCTCCTCCCATCTTCTGATCTCTTCCCATTGGCCAAACCCCAACCAGGAGCCAGAAGGCAAAGGTGATGAAGTCCTCAGAGGTCAGTTAGCGCCCTCCCCCAAATAAGGCACAGAGGGGACAGAAGGGAATTTGGGGGTGGGACACAAATGGAGAAGGGTCAGCAGAGAAGGTGAGCCCCGGTTGTCCCTGGCTCAGGCTGGGGGGATTTTGAGAACGAGGCCTGAGCAATATTGCTTTTGCTCTTAGAGACAAACTCTTATGACGGATACAAGTTGACTGAGTTATCAATAATGAGCAAGTTTCCCCCCAAAACTTCCTGGAAAACAAAGACAATGGTTTCCGGTTCTTAGCCAAGATTCAAGCTTAAGCTCCAATATAGCGGGGACTCTAGTTTCCCTTTTCCTTCCTATTTCTGGAAGCAAGGGCCCACATGACACCAGGCTCTTAAGCAATTGAGAAAGTCACTCAAGACAGGGAAGTTTATTTTGGATCCAGATGATAATCTTTTTCACAGCATTTGTGTTTCTCTTCCTACGCCTCTTGGGGTCACTTCATGGAATCCTCCCCAGACGAGCTATTGTCCAGGGTTAGCCTGGTTGGTAGAGAGGGTCAAATTCACTCACGTACGGGGCTGGTCTTTCTTGAACCCCTTTCACTAAGCAATGGTGACCCAGGTTCTTCTTTTCGCTGCATGTAACTGCCACAGGAACCCAGAACCCTTTTTCCAGATCAGCTCCAGTGTCTGCTCGGGCTTCTATGCAGCCACTCATTTGGAGCAGCCACGTTTCACCCGGGCTTCTTGGTTGTTGTCCAAGAGAAGGTGACTTTTCAGTCGCTGTCTAGCTGCCTGCCATCGTGGAAAGAACACTGGTCATGATGTTAAGAGCCCAATTCACACCCCAATCATTTTACCTACCACCTGTGTGACTTACCCAGCCTCCATATACGGCTCCAACTCTCCATGAGATAGACATCAAAAGAGGCAACACTTACTTGTCCAAGGTTCTTGTTAGTGGGATAATACGCTTTCCATACATTTTATTTATTTTTATTTATTTATATTTTATTGATTTTTTACAGAGAGGAAGGGAGAGGGATAGAAGAGTTAGGAACATCGATGAAAGAGAAACATCGATCAGCTGCCTCCTGCACACCTCCTACTGGGGATGTGCTCGCAACCAAGGTACATGCCCTTGACCGGAATCGAACCTGGGACCCTTCAGTCCGCAGGCCGACATTCTATCCACTGAGCCAAACTGGTTAGGGCTCCATACATTTTTTAAAAGTACTCTACTTTTAAATGCATTGTCTCATGAGTCTTATTGCCCGGTTATAGACGAGAACACTGAGGCCTGGGAAAGGAAGTCACTTGTCCAGGGCTGTGTACTTTTGAACTCAGAACCTCTCATTCCAAATCCAGTGAAATTTCCACTATACCAGGCACACCTTGTCAAGTGAGCCCAGCTACAGGGGCTGGGCTAGAGGTCGTTGTTATGGTTGTTGTTATGGCCAAAGCTTTGACTGCATCTGAAATACTGTGCACCTTTGCTAGCTGTGCGGGGTCAGTCAATGGTAATGATTTCCATTTGGGTGTCTGTTTTGTCTTTCAGTCATGAGGCAGTGAAATCCATGTTTCACACCCAGATGAGGTGGGTCAGTTCTTGCAAACTTCCCTGCTCCTCTGACCCACCTCCCTCACTTGCCTGGTTCCCAAGATGTCCCTTCCCAAGATTCTGTGGCTGCTGTCTGTCTGTATGTCCTTCTTTTTTGAATGCTGTATTTTTTGTTCTTTTTTAAAAAAAATTTTTTTTGTTAATCCTCACCGGAGGATATTTTTTCCATTGCTTTTTCAGAGAGAGTGGAAAGGAGGGAGGGGAGGAGAGACAGAGAAGAGAGAGAGAGAAACATCAATGTGAGAGAGACACATAGATTGGTTGCCTCCCCCATGCACCCCAACTGGGTTTGAGAATCAAATCTGAGACCCTTTGGTGCTTGGGCCTACGCTCTAACCACTGAGCATGCCGGCCAGGGCTATTCTTAATGCATTTAATCATTTTGTTCTTTACTCACCCACTACCTGACATGCCTTTGTTTTCCTTTTTTAAAACAATGTTTTTTATTGATTTTAGAGAGAGAGGAAGGGAGAGAGAAAATAGAACATCAATGTGACAGACTGCCTCCTGCACTCCCCCTACTGGGGATTGAGCCTGCAATCTAGGCACCTGCCCTGACCGGGAATCGAACTGTCAACCTTTTTGTGTATGGGACGACGCTCAACCAACTGAGCCACACCGGCCAGGGCTACTTTGTTTTCTTCCTTTCTCCTCTTTCACTCCTTACTTCTTTCGTTCCTCCAACCTCAAAGCGTGACTGTCTCTTCTGGTCCACGTCATCTTGGCAAAAACCCAGGTTTTTCCCTCTAAACCCTGCTTGCCATGAAGTGAGGACTGCTGATACTACTGACCTACTAAAGGACTATGTGTTTGTTTATAACCCCCAACCTCTCACCCAGACTGGGTTCTGAAAATCGCACTCATAACTGTGATATTTTGATCAATATTTATTCATAGCATTCTGTTTACTGCTCTGGCCAACTATGAATTCGTGGTTTAGATTAGATTTTACTTTTGACTTTTCTTAATCACAACCAAAAGGTCCCAGATGGGTCTTTTTCTCAAATGGGGCTTAAAAGTACTTGAAATGCTCTTTGGATTTAGAACAAAATGCTGCATGGGGGTTCGGGCTTTGGGAATGCAGGGGAGGAGTGGTTTGTGCACCCGAGACTGTGTTGGCATGCATTGCACGTGACTTTGAACGATTCACATCACCTCCTGGGCATTTTGTTCCACATCCGTAGAGCAAAGGTCAACATGAGGGCATCTCTGGGGACCTTCCAAATCTCTAAAAAACACTTAAATTACTTGCCTAATTGTGGCTCAATTGACTGAACTATAAAATTGCAGAGCATTACAGATGGGAGAGGTCTGGGGTCCAGAATGGAGTGGTAATCACTATTCATTCCCTGATTCCCAATTCCAAGTTAGTAAATGGGGTATGCGTTTTTCATATTTAAGTGACATTAAATTAATTTGGTTTTGAAAATTCGTTAATAGCATTGAAATAATTTGAGACACTCTGAAACCTTGTATGAACTGGCTTAACCATGATGGAAAGTAAAGCTATTGGAAACCCTAACTTATGGACCACTGAGTCACTGTTGAATGGGGATATGTTACTATGGTGAACTGCCTCTGTAAAGGGGTGGGTGGGGTTAGCAGTGTACTTACCCAACCAGGACCAAATGCCAAAGATCCACACTCAACCTGGGCTCTAAAGTTGCTCTCATGGACCTACTTAGGACATTATCAGAGTCTTAAAATTGAGGGCTTTGGTGCACCTCACTTCCCATGCATTGCAGGCTCAGGAGGCCGACTGAAAATCATCAGGCCAATACGATGTGGTGAGGTGTGAATGGCACTTGAGTTCTAATCTTGACTCTGTGGCCAAAGTGTGTGGGACCTTTGGGGATGTTACTTCACCTCTCTGGGTATCAGTGCCCTGGTTTGTGAACTGAGAAGATGGATTCCTGCAGTTTGGACATATTAGGATTCCAAGCAGACCTCGGAGTAGAATCACTGGGCCCTCCCCTCCCTCTTGCCTTTCATCACTTCAGTAACAGCTGCTGCCAAAAATTGGGGTGGGAAGAAAGGGAAGAAGGAACAGGAGGCGAAGGGGAGCTTACATCTTGGCAGGTGCCATTTGAGTTGTTTTTATATATAGTGTCACATTTATTTGGCATGTCAGTGGACTCCACTTTGAGAGAAGGCATGTCACCTCTGACACTTGGACATGCATGTCACTGCCGTTCAGTAGCTGCCTGCTTGATTGTCACCTTGGAGCACGAAGGGAATGCCTCTGGCTGGGACCCTTCTGTGGTGCTGAAATTGTGTCCCGGCCTTTCACACGGTGTCTGACAGCCGCTCTGGGAGGTAAAAGAAATGATCATGGACCTCTCTGCAGATGCTCTGCCCAGCCTCTGCAACCTGCCACTCACTCTCTGGGGGATCGTTTCTACTGGGTGGTGAGGCCCCAGGATCCTGGGGAGACACAGGAGCACAGCTCAGGGCTCACCACTTGTTTTCTGTAGCTTCTGGCCTGGTGCATGGCTGAGAGGCCCACAGGCTGATCTCTGCGTGGTTGGCTAACCTGGGTGTCAGTTTCACCAGGGGCTTTTGTTTTCAGCATAATCTGCATCTATTACATGGCAGAGAGGGCTGTGCTGTAGGTCATTGGAGGGTCAGGTCTAGGCTGGAAGGGGGCTGAAATGCTATCTGCTCTTGCTAACCACCTTCAACCACAAAGCCCTGTCCCCCAATAAACACAAAAGTGAACAATGCATCAAACTAACAGAGTCAGCCTTTGTTTGCTGAATAAGTCTCCTCAACCACTGGTTGAGGTAAGAAGGGACTTACAGTCACTTACAGAATAGGCCAAGATGGACGGTGACTGAATGTGTGTGTTTCTGAGCGAGCAGTCCCAAAACTAAGCAGGAATGACTCTTGAGTCTTCTCTTGTT